GCTCTTGTTACCCAGGCTGGAGTGCAATGGCACAATCTCGGCTCACCGCAACCTCCGCCTCCTGGGTTCAGGCAATTCTCCTGCCTCAGCCTCCTGAGTAGCTGGGACTACAGGCACGCGCCACCATGCCCAGCTAATTTTTTGTAGTTTTAGTAGAGACGGGGTTTCACCATGTTGACCAGGATGGTCTTGATCTCTTGACCTTGTGATCCACCCGCCTCGGCCTCCCAAAGTGCTGGGATTACAGGCTTGAGCCACCGCGCCCGGCCAATTTTTGTATGTTGATCTTGTATGTAGCAATCTGACTAGGTTCTCTTGTTCTAACAAGTGTATACATTCTCCTAGACTTTCTATAAAAACAATATTAAAAGTATTGACAGTTATTTCCAATTGCATGATTTACTGATTTTAGTGTCTTATTGCATTTATTAAGCCCTTTAGTATATTGTGGAATAGTAGAGATGATACCACTTATCTTTGTCTTATTCAATTAATCACTGGGATGTGGTATATTACATTAATAGATTCTCTTTTTTTTTTTTTTTTTTTGAGACAAAGTCTCTCTCTGTTGCCCAGACTGGAGTGTAGTGGTGAGATCTCGCCTCCCAGATTCAAGTGATTCTCCTGCCTCAGCCTCCTGAGTACACCTGGGACAACAGGTATATGCCACTATGCTGGGCTAATTTTGTATTTTTAGTATAGACGGGGTTTCCCCATGTTAGCCAGGCTGGTCTTGAACTCCTGAGCTCAGGTAATCTGCCCGCCTCAGCCTCCCAAAGTGCTGAGATTATAGGTGTGAGCCACCACACCAGGCCACATTAATAGATTCTCTATATTGAGCATGAAGCATTTCTTGGATAAGTCAAACTTGGTTATGATATGATACTTGTGTATATGTATATATATACACACACACAGGCACACACACAAGTATTATATATAAACAAGTATATATTACTTGTATAATATATAAGTAATAAAAATATAATAAATATAAGGCCGGGCACGGTGGCTCACGCCTGTAATCCCAGCACTTTGGGAGGCCGAGGCGGGTGGATCACGAGGTCAAGAGATTGAGACCATCCTGGTCAACACGGTGAAACCCCGTCTCTACTAAAACTACAAAAAATTAGCTGGGCATGGTGGCGCGTGCCTGTAATCCCAGCTACTCAGGAGGCTGAGGCAGGAGAATTGCCTGAACCCAGGAGGCGGAGGTTGCGGTGAGCCGAGATCGCGCCATTGCGCTCCAGCCTGGGTAACAAAAGCGAAACTCCGTCTCAAAAAAATATATATATATAATAAATATATTACTTATATAAGTAATATACAAATGATATACAAATAAGTTAATAAGTAATACATTACTAATTACTATGTAGTTTATATATAGTAATGAATATTAATACATAGTAACATAATATGACATTACTTATCAATTATATATTATATAATTTTTAAATCTGGTCATATTATATTACTGAGTAAATACAACATTTAGTCAGATTTTTTATGCCCATGTTCATTAGTAATTTTGCTGGGTTTTTTTTTTTTTTTTTTTTTTTTTTTTGGTACTCTGTCTGGTTTTGGTGTCAAGGTTATACTACCATCATAGAATGAACTGGGAAGCTTACCCTAATTATCTATTTGTTGAAGCATTTTACATATTTTGGGATAACGTGTTCCCTGAAGGTTCAGTAAAATTTATTTTGTGCTCTCTTTAATGGTTAGTGGTTTGTTCAGATTTTCTTCTTCTTCTTGAGACATGTGGGGATGTAATTGCCTTCCCTGACTTCATGTTTCTTGTGGAGTTAATTCTACACATAATGCCTCTGGCCTGGAGCTTTATTGCTACAATTTCTCCTCTGTGGAGAAGAGGGGCAGCAGATGACACATGAGCTCAGCTGCTCCTGGGCTCTCTCTTTCAAGTCTTTCTGCTTGCAGGATTTATGTTCTAGTCAGCTGTCTTCCATAGAATAAGGGGACTGTATACCTGTGTGGGGAGGCCAAGGTTGTCCATCTGTGTGATGACAGACTATGCCAAATTCCGGAGCAAATTATTGCAGTCTACTTAGCTGCAGATCAACACTATTTTCTCTAAACAATTTTATCAGTAACAAGGTGATTTTTTTTTTATCTATTTTTTTTTTTTTTTTTTTTTTGAGACGGAGTTTTGCTCGTTACCAGGCTGGAGTGCAATGGCGCGATCTTGGCTCACCGCAACCTCCGCCTCCTGGGTTCAGGCAATTCTCCTGCCTCAGCCTCCTGAGTAGCTGGGATTACAGGTATGCGCCACCATGCCCAGCTGATTTTTTGTATATTTAGTAGAGACGGGGTTTCACCATGTTGACCAGGATGGTCTCGATCTCTTGACCTCGTGATCCACCCACCTCGGCCTCCCAAAGTGCTGGGATTACAAGCTTGAGCCACCGCGCCCGGCCTACAAGGTGATATTTTGACCCACATCTGCCAGACTATATTTGATGATACAGAACTTGGGAAGGGAAGAAAGGATGTTATTCTTTAAACAACACAGATAGCCAGTGAAATTTCCATCATCACAGAATATACATAACAGTTAACATGCTGTGATTTGAAATAAAATATTATTTGAAAAGCTATTTTCATGGCTGTAAAATATTGCATTGAAAGGGTTGCCATCAATTATTTAATTGTTCCCACATCAGCACTTTTAAGGCTGATACACACTTTAAAAGTATATATGAAAAAGTCTCTCTTTCATTATTTTCACAAGCACTAAGAGTCTCATTTATAAACACGGCCAGGCGCAGTGGTTCACTTCTGTAATCACAGCACTTTGGGAGTCCAAGGCAGGCAGATCACCAGAGGTCAGGAGTTCAAGACCAGCCTGGTCAACAGGGTGACACCCCTTCTCTACTAAAAACACAAAAATTAGCCAGGCGTGGGGGTGCACGCCTGTAATCCCAGCTACTCAGGAGGCATAGGCAGGAGAATCACTTGAACCCAGTGAGCCGAGATCACTCTACTGCACTTCAGACTGGGCAACAAGAGAAAAACTCCGTTGCAAATACATACAGACATACATACAAATATTGTCCATTTGATAGGTGAAAATAGATGCAAATTCTGTTTCAACAAATATTAATAAAGTTGAACAATGACCCGATGTAATTTGTTACCTATCTGAAAGATACGCACATTCAGGGAGCTACAGTACTTTTTCATATCGTGCAGCATCAACAAATTGTTTTCTTAATGTAGAAAAAGAGCCACTAAATACAGGCTAACGCAACGTGGGGCAGCATGCAAAGCCATGGTAAGTGGGAAAATGGGAGATAATCTGGGCGTGGCTTAGAGGACCGCTGAAGTAAGACACACCCTTCGCCTCACCTATGGCTTCCCGCGGCGGCGGCGGCTGCTTTACAGGACCGGCAGGGGGCGCGCGCGGTTGAGTCCAGCAAGGGCGAGAACCTGGAGGGCCGCAGCCGGGCACTGACACCTCTCCAAGCCGTGGCTCCTCTTACCCAGGCCGAAAGCGGTTGGGCCCTCTGCTCCACTGCGCCCGTGCTCGGCCGCACCCCCTGCGCGTTTGTGAGCTGGCCATCGGTCACACTGGGATACTCGAGGAGGCCTGGGGCCTCCACTCAATTCCCTAAGAAGGACCCGCGCTGGCCGCGGCTGGCGGGTGGAGAACGCGCGTCTGGGTCTGGCTTTTGTACCAGAATCTCCCCGGGAGATTTTACAAGCCGCTCCGAATGTTCTGATTGAATTGGTGTAGGGGTCGGTCCGGGCATCTAACCAGCAGCTCGGATGGAGAATTACTACCCTGGACTCTAGTCCTCAGAGGTTCACTCATGTTAATCAACCCGAGTCCATCTTCGTGGGATTGTCTTGCTCCGAGGTGCTCCCACTGAGCTTTATTTTCCTGCCTGATACCGGGGTCCGCTAACAAGATGAAGAGCGGACCATAGAGGCACGGTGAAAGCGGCACTTGGTGACGTGGAGGACCCAGCTTGTCACGGTTGAGGCAGGTCTCCTGACGGTCTTTTGTCTCGGTTATTCCGAACTATTCTTCAGGAACAGCCAGGCTCCCCACCCCAAGACCTATGAAGGCCAGGAATAATTAAGCACGCTCTCATCTCAAGGTGGTGACGATTGTGCCCTTGTTTAAAAGGGATGCCTGAGACCATGAGGATTTGAAGTTTTGGAGGCGGATCTGCCTTTGGGGAGTAAGCGTAGGGCCATAAGAGGTAGTTGTGCTTTGAGAAAGTTCCTGGGGTGATGTGTCCCATCCTCCAAACATTGCAGGACAAGTCAAAATTACAGAAAGACTCTAGTTTACTTCTAGCCTAACATAACCAAAATACGGTATTTGTCAGGAAACGTGTAGTATTTGCATAACCTGAGAATCTAATTGAAGAACCCGCTCTAGAGGTTTTAGAAAGGGGAAAATAGAAAACTTAAAAAGAATCATTAATATCAACATCTAAAATATAACAAAATTGAATAAACCAATATGAGTTTTATACTGTAATTGAAATAAAATGTCATTATGTTCTTAAGAGTGCTAGTTTAACAGGAAATCTCCAATGCATTATTATCCAGAATCATCTCAAAGGTTCACTTTTTATTTGCATGGGCCCTTGCTATTTGTAGGGTAGAAGGCTGCACCTCGTTCTGGTGGCTGCCACCTTGATGAGGAGACACTTCTTGTAACAGGATGGTTAGCCCACAGCTTTTCCCAGCCCCCTTTTCCACAGCCAGTAAATTGTTTTAGTTTATGAACCTCAGCTGCAGTTGCAATCACCATCAAATTCCAATTTTGAATTTATAGGTGAATAATGAATACAATGAACTTTCTAGAATTCATGAAGGGCAGTGATGCTCCCTTTTATGTAATAATTCTGTGTAGCCTTTCAATATGCTTTTCTGTGGACTGAATTTGCAAATTATCATTTGTTTAATCAGTTGTTAATCTAACATGATGACTAACTAAAAACACATAAAATTTGCTGGTATTCCAGAATTCTATGGATTTTGTTGTGTTGTTTAAATAGAAGACGTTAAAAGCAGCTGCTTACTATACTTACCTTCTTTACTCAGCATAGGGTAGAGGTGAAAAAACCTTAATCTCGTAATTTGGCAATTTATATAACCTGTTGTTTTTGGAATACAGACAGTTTTCTTCCCCTTTACATTACTGTTCTTTACAGAGCTTAAATCCTAAGTTTCTGACTTGTGATTTAAACTCCACATGAGAAAGCAGGTTGGGATTTTATCTTTCATAATTTTATTTATAACTCAAAAGTAAGTTTCAAAACATTTTGTGATAGTAACTCCTATAATAGTGTTTATTTAATCCATCTTGGAAATTTTCTGTTACTGTATCTTTGATATATTTGACTATTCATTTGACTATTAATGACTAAGAAAGGGAGAAACATTAACTTTACTGCAATCAGGAAAATTCTGCTTTCAAACTGCTAAACAGAAGAAAATATATGATGTATGAACACTCATGTATTTTTAAATAGTAAATAACAATAAACCAAAGCTTAATATAAAATCCAGCTTTTAAATATATATAGTTAATTGTTAGTGAATTGGCTAAAATAAAGGTACAGATTGCCTTTCCTTCCTCCTAGTGGTTATGTATACAAAACTAAATTTAGTATTAATT